CTCCCCTTCAGGTGGCGCGGAGTCCGGGCGGGGAGGCCCGCCACTGGGGACCTGCGGAGTGGGCCGGGGCTGGGCCTGGGCGTGGGCCTAGACCTCCATCTCCTCCCGCTAGCTGGAGGCCTCTGGGCGGCTCCTGCGCCTCTCGGTTCGCATCACCTGCTCGGCAAAGGTCGCTGGCGAGCTAGAGGTGGTACTGCCGGCTGCGCAGGGCTGTGGGAGGGCAGGCAGGCAGGGGCTCCGCGCGGGGCCTGGCGTGTGGTCCGGGCTGGCTGCCCTTCGAGGGGAGTGAGGCTTGCCGGAGGCCTTGAAGCCCACGGGCACTGGGCGTCCGGGCGTGCAGCTGCGGTGGCCTTATTCCAAGCCACAGGCCCATGCTTGTCTTGGGCTCTCACCGGGAGGGACCACGTTGAGTCAGGCCGGCATCCCACGAGTCTGTTTGGGGGAAGTGGGTTCTTGATGGTGCAGTGAGCTCACAGACAGGGCTCACGTCCGGAGGACTAGCCCTGGCGGCAGGGCTGCTGCTGGAGCGGTGGTGGCCTGTGTGTGGGTGGCCCGTGTGTGCTTATTACATGCACGTGTCCGTGAGCAGAGGGCCCCCCTGCCTGGAGAGCGACCTGCAGTCATCTTGGTAGGCTGACCAGCCTGTGCTTTGTGGACTGTCCTCGTCATGAGGATCCAGGAATGCACCACCATCGGGCTTCAAGGGGCCGGCTCTTGTGACCCCTGTGAGGGCTTTGGAAACCAGGTCGTCCCTCCAGGCAGGGCAGTGGCGTGCTCATATCACGGTTCCCAGGCTGCTAGAGGGGGGCTGGCGAGGTCCTCGGAGCTGCCGCTTCTGGGGCCCTGGGTAGGGAGGGGCACTCCTCGCTGCCTGGCCGTAAAGGACACAGTTCCAAGAGGGCACGCGAGGTTTGAGAGTGGGATTAGGGTGGAGTGGGCTTGTTTCTGCTCAAGTGTCTTTGCGTCTTGCAGGCTGCATGGCGGTCACTGTGAATCGTGCATTCTTTAGCAGTTTTCCTGTTAAGTGCATACCTCGGCAGTCAAATATTGAGCTTGCTGAGAGCTTGTTTCCAGCCGGCATCCAGGGACGGCAGGGCTGAGGGGCCAGGCTTCCTCTGTTCCTCTTCCCTCCGCTCATCCCCTTGTTTATTGAGCATCTACTACGAACTTGACGTCAGTGCCGCAGAGCAGGCGAGCCACAATGACCCTGGGCTCCCTGCCCTGTCCGCTGCTCGCCTGACCGGGCTTCTCTCCTGCAGGGCATCAGTAGCCATGGATGACGCTTGCCCTGCCTGAGCAGCTTTGTGTGCTCAGGGCCAGGGCTTTCGGCGGCCGTTAATCCTTTAACTAGGTTTTGGTCTGGAAGAATTAGGCATGTGTTATTTTTTACTACCTCTTGATATTTTTTATGAACTCAAACTGTTCAGTTTCAGCCAGTAGCGGGTCCAGAATACAGTTCTCTCCCTATGTTAAATAAAAAATTTTTTTTGAGAAAGCGTTTCTTTGCATTAGCTCACCTCAGGTGACAGAGTACAGACTGGACGGTGGCAGCTGATGTGCCTGGCCGCGGTTAATACCAGAGCGTGACCTGTAGACGTGTGTCTCCCTTGTCCCTGGGAGCCGAACTGGGCGCCTGCCGGGCCATCCAGGCCTTATCTCCGGGCTCCCAGCTGCTCCTGAGGAAGGGAGGCCCTGCTGGGAAACCTGCCGCGGAAGCGCGAACAAAGCCTGGCACGTCCGGCTTGGTGGCAAGGCTGCTGGGACTTCTCGGAGGTTTGCGGGTGTGGCCTGCCCCGGTCCTCCCGGCATTTCCTTTGCTGCCCTCTCTGAGCCCAGCGGTGAAGCCATGTGCGTTAGACTTTCTTCTTTCTTGCAAAGAGTAACTCGTCACTCGAAAAGGGCTTCACTTGTGGCGCCGCTCTTCTTTCCACTCTGAGCCGCTGGTGACGGGGTGTCATCCCTTGTCACTGAGTCATGGCCAGCCCGAAAGCGAAAGCTGCGCTCCAGTGCCTTTGCAGCGTCTGGGAGAGGGAAGGCCTCTGCCGCATGGTGTCTGGGCGCTCAGGAGAAGCTGTGGTCTCGTCCCTAACTAGGAAGGACAGGCATTTGTGGACGAAAGGTGTGCGTGCAGTTCACACTGGACCCAGCAGAAAGCACAGCCCAGAAGCTTCCAAGCGCCTGGGATTGCGGGAGAGGAAACACACCCCTCCTCCCTCCTGACTCATGGCAGCAAACAGCCCTCCTGCCATCCCGGTGTGGGGTCCACCTCCTCCAAGCAGCTTGGGACCGGTATGGCGGGCAGGCGGGCGGGCCCTTCGAGCACTCTTCCTCGGGGCTCTCCCTGCCCTTTCTCCTGAGGCTGCATGGTGCTCTGACACCGGTGCTCCTCTGTGCCTCCCTGATCGGTAGGGGAGGTGTGGGTCAGAGCCTTCTGGCTCTGGCAGCAGGAGGTGACAGTCCGGCATTGGGATCAAATGCTGAGTGCAGCTAGCCTCTCCGGGCCAGCTCACAACTCTGCCAAAGCCGCCTCCTTCTCAGCTGTCCTCAGGTGTCTCCGCTCGGAAGAGATGCGGGCCTGGCGGTGTCCCTGCAGGGAGCGGAGTGGAGTGGGGTGACTTTGTTTTTCTTCCTGCTTTTCCTCGCAGGCGGATGTTACTGGTGCTGACAGTGGAGCCTGCTTGGGGGACACCTAGACTGAGCTTGCTCGAGTCTCTAGATTCTTTTTTTCCCAAATAAACAGACTCATTGAGGTGTAATTTACATACCATAAAGTTTACTTGTCTTAAGTGTACACTTAAATGATTTTGAGTAAAATTGCAGGGTAGTAGCCCTCCCCACAGTTTAATTTTAGAACACTGCCACCACTGCCCATAGAGGCCTCGTGGCCACTGGAGTCACTGCCAACCTCACCTTCCGCGGCCTGTGTCTGTCTGCGTGGACCTCCCTGTGGGGAAGTGGGGTCACAATATGCAGTCTTTTGGGACCGGGTCACATGGCATAGCATGTTGTGGCATGTTCTCAGCTCTGTCCTCCTTCCTGCTGAGGGAGTGTCCATGGATGGAGGTGCACGTGGGCGCGTCCTTCCGCCAGGGCTGGGCCCTGGGCTCTGCCTATGTCTTGCCCCCATAAGTCGTGCTTCTGGAGACGGCCTTTTGCCAGTGAACTGGACTCTGCCTCAGGGGACTCCAGGCTGTTGACTGAGCTCCAGGCCTCTAGGACCAGGCCCCAGGCTGAGTGCAGGGTCTCCAGCTGGAGATGCAGCAGGGCTGGCTTTCCTGGAGTCTTCATGCTGCTGAGGAGGGCCTGGGCACCAGAGCACGAGGGGCGCAGGGCAACGGGGTGGCGGGTCCAGAGTTGCAAGGCAGGGTGTGTCGGACCGTCCCTGGTGGCCAGGAAGGGTGGGGCCCCAGAGGAGGGACCGTGTGTGCCGAGGCACAGGGGGTGCTGCTATCCCGGCCATGCCTCAGCTGGCGCCCGGGAGCTGGGCCTCTGAGCTCGTGCTGGGCCAGTCTCTTGCCATGCAGCTCCACTCGTGTGCTTTGGGCCTAGCTTTGGGAGCAGTTTGCTGGGGTGTGCTGTGTTCAGACTCCCTCTCCTAGAACTGCGGCCGTGCCGCATGTGGCCTCTGGAATGATGCCTGCCCACCAGACTCCTCACCGCACATGCGTCTCCTGCCCAGGCAGCTCCTGGGAACCCTTACAGGGTGGCCTCAGGGCGGGCAAAGCCGTGCTGGGGGCAAGCCCTGGGGAGCAGCCGCAGACAGGCTCCGCGGGCTGGCAGCCAGCAGCGCTGTTCCCACGGTGGGTGCCTCAGAGATGCACAGCCCCGCCTCCAGCTTTGGCCCGGTGTTGCTGCCCCCGAGACCACCGCGTCCTTGCTCACAAAGGTCCCCAGCCCTGGGAAAGCCAAGCCATGTCAGGGGCCGCCCCCCGGCTCCTGTGGTTGAGTGCTGGCGGGACTGGGGTGCACCGGCAGCCCTCCTTCCCGCCGTGGCCCTCAGGGCTGGGACGAGGTGTGGACACCACTTGGTGGGTACACCCATCCGACGCCCCGTCATCCAGCACTTCCTGCCTTGTCCACACAGTGGCCGTGGAGGCTCAGCAGCCTTGGACCCAGACCCCCTCTGGTGCTGGTGGCAGGTGTGCTGGTGGCGCGGGTGTGGGGCTTGGGGCCGGGCTGGGGTACCGAGGCGGCTGCTGCCTCTGCCACTCGTGTTAGGGTGGCGGGGTGAGTGCTGGCCAGGGCTTGGGGTGAGGGGGGTCTCTGTCTCCTGCAAGGCTCCTGCCCACGCCAGGCTTGCTGGAAGGGAGGGTGTGGCACTCCTATCTGGCCCAGCGGGCCTGCTGCCCATTCTCTGCCTTCATCACGTTTTTTTTTTTTTCTGCCAGGACTTCTTGGGCCGGGCACGCCCGTGGTATTCTGGGCAGCCCTGTAGACAGTGTCTGGGAGCACGGAAGCAGGAACAACGGAAACCAAGGAGAGCGTGGGAAGGGAAGAGGAGGTGGTAGTGGGCATGGCGTCCGTGCCGTGAGGTCCATGGCATTGTGTGGTCTGGGGACTGTGGCCATGCTTAGGCTGGCATCCTGGCCCCGTCTCTGTGTGGCTCTCCTTTGCGAGCACAGTGACCTGGGCAGGTTTGTGCATGCAGCCCATCCCCGCAGTCGCCGGTGGACACGCTGGGTGGCCTGGTGACATGGTTAGACACCGCTGCCAGCGCCTGTGTTAATGTTTGGCCCCTTGCTGCTGCTGCACCAGGCAGTGGCAGCGTCCTGGTCTTGCCGCTGGGTGTGTTGGTGTGGCAGGGAGGCCGAGGGCCCTCCCGGGTGGCGCCCGTGCCTGAGCCTTTTTGCTGTGAACTTTCAGGGTTGGAGATTTTCTTCCAGGCACCCTTCTGGCTGTGCCCTTCCCTCCACCCTTGGTGTCTGGGGGCCGTGGGCTGGCAGACCCTGTCCTTACAGGGATGCAGCTCAGGATTCCCTGTGGGGCTGCTGCCTTGGGGTTTGGCCCGTGACATCTGCACCCGCGGGCGTTCCAGCTCCTGCCTTGCTGGGACTTGTCTTCCATCTGAAGAAAGGCCTGATGGTGCCCAGTGGCCCCCAGGAGCCAGATGCTTGAGCCTGGGTCCAGGCCTGGGTGTAAGCCCAGGAGTATAAAATTGGCTCAGTGGAGTTGAGAGCTGCCTGTGTGAGCATGGCCTGTCCCTGCTGTGCACGGCCTGGCCCATCCTCATACAGGAGTGCGCACAGGCTCCTCTGCCAGCACGCCTGCTCTCCGCTCTGCAGCCTGTCCTTCTGGTGCCACGTATGGCAGGGCCGTGTGTTGTAGCCGTGTGTCATGAAGCACAGAGTGGGAGTAAGAGCATCCGAGCCAAGTTGTGTGCCCGCCGGAGGCATGTGAGAGGGGCCGTCCTTGCAGCTTCACACATGGGAAGGCCCCTTGGAGAAGGTGCCGTGGGGCTGAGACCTGGAGAGAGCGAGAGGCCCGTGTGGACGGTGGTGGCGCTGTCACACTGGTGTCTCCTCCACAGAGGGTCTGTCTCGCGTCCCCACAGACTTATGGTCCCTATGTAATCAGTGTTTTTCAGTTGATGATAGTATTTATTTTGAGTCGGAGTCTCATTCTGTCGCCTAGACTGGAGTGTTGCGGCATGCTCATGGCCACTGCAGCCTCGATCTGCTGGACTCAGGCGCTCCTTCTGCCTCAGCCGTCCGAGCGACCAGATCTGTGGGCACACGCTACCACTCCTGGCTGTTTTTTTGACTTATTGTAGAGACGAAGCTTCACCCTGTTGCCCAGGCTGGTCTCGAACCCCTGGGCGCAGGCAGTCCCCTTGGCTCTGCCTCCCAGAGTGCTGACATCACAGGCCTGAGCCGCCATGCCTGGCCAGTTTTTATTATTTTCGGTGAGTGAATGGTCCCAGGTGAGCCTCTGTGTCACTGGGTGGAAAAGGGCAGGGCGTGCCCGACAGTGGACAGGAGCCCGCCCGCCCAGCCCGGCTACACACAGCCTGACAGCCTGGGCAGGAGAGCGCCCGTGTCCTCGAGCACCGGCGTGGGGCGGGGGCCCGTGGGCGCAGGAGCGAACCTGGAGGCCTGGACCGCACCAGGGCCTCCCGCAAGCGACCTGGGTCCCCCGAGTTGACAGCCGTTTGATCAGCAGCGTGGGTTGAAGCAGATGTCTGTGTCATCAATAGCCAGGTTTAAAAATTTTTATTTTTATCGTTAAAATGCTTTTGTTTCTTTCTGAGGCAGGATCTCACCGTGTTGCCCAGACTGGGGAGCAGTGGCAAGATCATGGCCTCAGCCTTCTGGGCTCAGGTGATCCTTCCGCCTCAGCCTCCCAAGCCGTTGGGGCTGCAGGCATGTGCCACCACACTCAGCTTACTTTTCTATTTTTTTGTAGAGTCAGGGTCCCACTATGTTGCCCAGGCTGGTCTCTAACACTTGGGCTCGAGTGATCCTCCCCTCTCAGCCTCCCAAAGTGTTGAGATTGCAGTCATGAACCACCATTCCTGGCCTTGGAAGCCAAGCTTTTGATGTTAAGAAAATGCAGCATAAAATAGATTCCCTAAAACCCCATAGCGTTAACACTGGAAGCAGTGCCGGGAAGCCTGGTTCTGAACATGCGCAGGACACCCTGCCAGAGGCGGGAAGCAGCCCACCGTCCACGCTGGCTCTGCTTGTGAGCCTCGAGCCACACCTCCCTGGAGGGCCTGCAGTGCCTGTTGCTCCCTCCATTCTCTTTCCCCTTCTCCTTTTTCTTTTTCTCCCTCCTTCCCTTCCTCCCTTTTCAACATCTCCCTCTGTTGCCCTGGCTGGAGTGCAGTGGCACGCTCACAGCCACCCCAGCGTCGACCTGCAGGGCTCCACTGATCCTTCCACCCTGGCCTTCCAAGTCTCCTGAACTACAGGCGAGTGCTACCATGCCCGGCTAATTTTTTCATTTATTGTAGAGACAAGGTCTCGCCAAGTGACCCGGGCTGGTCTTGAACCCCTGGGCTCAGGCAGCCCTCTTGCTTCTTGCCTCTGCCTCCCCAAAGTGCTGAGGTGACAGGCGTGAGCCACCGTGCCTGAGTCCAGCATTTTGATTTTTTGTAGAGACAAGGTCTCGCTCTGTTGCTTAGGTTGGTCTCGAACTCCTGGGCTCAAGTGACCCCCCCGCCTCACCTCCCCACGTGTTGGGCTGACGGGTGTGAGCCGCTGCCCTTTACACTCTTAAAAAGTCCTTGTTGGTTGAGTCGGGTGGTGGCTCACTGTGGCCACTGAGGCTGTGCAGCAGGGGCGGGAGTGGCTGGAGGGCCCAGGGCCGCATTTCCCAAAGTGTCTCTCAGGAGCACGTGTCCTTGGAGACAGCCAGGTGAGTGGGAATCCCTGGATGAAACTCCGCAGACAGCAGTGGTGACAGGCGTGGAGCAGCCCTGATGATGTGACCGTGGCCGGAGGGTCCCATCGCTGGCCCTTTGCCCGCCATTCCCGCAGTGCCTGCCTCCTTGGCCCGGGGCGGCGCCGCCACTGTCTCCTTGTCCCTGTCTCCCTGCCGTCAGCTTCTTTGGGCTGCCAGTGGTGGTGGAGAGGCAGGAGCGTGGTCAGAGCACTGAAGGCGCCTGTCCCCAGGCCCTGCCACCTGCTCACCCTGGCCTTCCCTTCCTCCCGCGGTGTCGGCATTCTGCACCCGCGTGTTCCCTGTCCTGCACCCGCAGCGTGGGCTCTGGGTGCAGGACCCGAGATGCCCAGGGTTGGTGAGCGGCTGCCCGCCAGGTGGATGGTGAGGGTGTCCTCGAGGCAGGACAGCACCTTCGGAGGCGTCTTCTACTGCACGGCTGCCTGTGCCCTCCTCACCTTGGTGAGCCGTGCCAGCAAACACTTCTGCTTCTGGTGGGCTTCACCTTCTCCCCAGACTCACCTGTGGCCTCTGCTGTCCTGGCGTGACCAGGGCCTGGCATTGCTGCAGGGCGGGGAGTGGGTACTGGTGGGGCTGCCTCCTGTGTCCACAGGGTGCTCTGGAAGGAGCTCTGCGTTAGGGACTTGTTTCCCCTCAGTCTCTGGTTCTTGGGGACACTTTCCAGACAACACGCAGACTGGTGGACTGCAGCACCAGCTGGCGAGGAGAGACAGGGCTTTCCTGGGGATGGCCACTGCCGCAGAAGGCCCTGGTCTTGTCACTCCTGCTGGGAAGGCCTCCGACCCATGGCTGAGGCAGAGCTGGGCCCAACTGAGTCCTGGTGAGCGTTCTGGGCATCCGTAACTCCTAGGGAAATGAAGTGCTATCTTGCTGTGACCGTGACCTTGCGCAGGGTGCTGCCCTTCCTCAAGGCAAGCCCGTGCAGCGGTGTGCAGGTGATGGGCTGGTGGCCCCGGTGTCCTCCTGACCCGGCGGGAGTGGCGGTGTCATGGGCTGCCCCGCCTGCGCTACAGCCCTCTTCTACCACCTTCTCACTGGGTGCTTGGGTTTTAAGCAGCAGTGTCCGTGGTCTGCTGCCTGCCAAGTTCTGAGCTGCCACCAGGAGTGCAGCAGGGCCCGGGTTTGCGGGCAGAGGGTCCCGGCTCCTGAGGTGGCACGAGGTCCTGCCTACGGCGGCCCTGAGGGTAGGCAGGGACTTGGAGCCTGGGTGCCCCCGGGAGACCTGTGTGGGGCTCCCATCCCACTCACATGGGTCCCAGGAGGGCTGGGTTGCCTGGGCCAGGGCCCTGCCTAGCCTCTGTGCTGGATTCTGGGCCTGGCCTATCAGGATCAAGCCAGGAGCCCTCCTCCCGCGGTGGAGGGCTGGGACCTGCTGTGCCTGGTGGCAGCCATCTACGAGGCACTTGTGCGAGAAGCTTGTCTCGTTCAGGCCCACTGTCCAACGTGGATGCGGAAAATGCGGGCCTGTGCTGTGCTTGGGACCTGCAGCCGCCCTCCCCCAGTCCAGGGCCACTGTCAGGAGCCCCGGCACGCGCCCTGTGGGTGGAGCAGCCCAGCTGTGTGTGCGTGGCACTGATGCAGACGGCGGCTCGTCCAACCAGGGAGAGGCATGTGGTTGGCCCTCTACATGGGTAGAGGGCACAGCCCTGGCCCTGTACTCATCTGCAAGGAGCGAGTGCTTCAGGGCATTTGTGAGCCACAGTGTTTTCAGCCCTGCAGGCCGTGGAGATGCTGGGCTCAGGCCTGCTGCCCCACAGGTACACTTGGGGTAGGACCTGACGATTGGGGGGCGAGGGGTTGGGTGTGCTGGAGGCATGGAGGGATCCGAGGGCCCTGCCCCCTTGGGTACCTCTGAAACGCCCGCCTGGTGCCTCTGAGTCCACAGCTGTGGCCTCTGTGCCTCTGCTCCCATCCGAGTACTAACCTGGCCAGACCCTGCTTAGCTTCCAAGATCTGTTGAGATCAGGCGCATGTGGGGTGGCATGACTGTAGTCTCTCCTGACACTGATTTCAGCCGATGCTCCGAGTGGGACCGTGGCCGGCACCTACAGCAACCCCAGTCATCTGGTTGGACCCTCCGCTGGCCCGGCTGTTGGGACCTGTGAGGGCCTCCTGGTATCAGAGTGGGCGGGAGCGCACTCCTAGGTCCCTTCGAGGTGGCACGTCTGCCACTGTGGCCAACATGCAGCACTGAGGTTTCCTGTCCCTTCTTCCTGTCCCCCAGAGGGATGTTGGCGGGCCCTGGAGTGCAGACCGAGCCCTTTTAGGTAAGGCCCTCGGCCACGGCAGGCCCCTATTGGAGACCGGTTGCAGTGGGTGACCTGCTTGTCCTGTCCTAGAGCCTCCTGCTTGGGGACCATGGTCTGCCCGCTCACACACCCCATGATCCCTGCTGTGGGGCTCGACCTGGAAATCTGTGAGGGCCAAGATTTTGCTGGACTCTCTAGGAGGCCCTCGATGCCCTGGGCTCACCAGCCCTGTGGCCCCAGGCTCTCACTGCCACAGGCATGTCCTTCTAGCCGCCAGAGGGGACTGACCATGTCATCTCCTGCTGTAAGGACCCTTGATGACCCCTGTTGCCGACGGAATGAAACCCGAACCCTTACCCTGTGTGTCCCAGGCAAGCTGCGGCCTGGCCAGCCCCCCAGCCTCCGCTTCTGCCAGGACACCTTCCTGTCCCATGCGTGTCTTTCAGACCCCACGCAGATGCCTGAGGCCCAGCACAGATGGCGTGAAGCGTCCCCATTGCCTTCTGAAAGATGCCCGTCGGCTTTGCCCTTCCTCCTCTCCCTGCCGTCCCGGGGTCCCTGAACAGCCTCCGCTGGGAATCTCCGGCCCTCGGAAGGTGTCGGGAGCTGAGTGTGTTCCCCCTGCCCTGCATCGAGGCCAAGGAGGGGACAGGTGCTTGGGGCCAGTGGGTCTTTGTCCGGCAGCTCAGAAGTGTGCGTGGAGATTGTAGAACTGTGACTCACCTGTTTGACCTGACGTGGCCACACACCCTCTCCACTTGGTCCTGGGACATTCCAGAACCACCTAGGCCTCAGCAGCCCTCAGCGAAATCCCCAGTGTGTGTTCCTGACCCAAGTGGAAATAAACTAGAACCAGCAAGCTCCCGTGTTTAGAAATCAGGATGCTTCTTGGTCACCACCACGGCAAAGAGAATCCGTGATGGGAACTAGAACGTCTTTTTTAGCTGAGGGATAAAGCTATTGCATGTCATGGCTTGCGGGAGTGATTCAGAGCCCTTGGTGTGCGGCAGAGAGCCACGACTCCCCCTGGGGCAGGTGGAGGCAAGGAGTGAGGGTGGGCGCAGAAGCTCACGAGGCAGAAAGGGGTTCTTCCATGGAGAGGCCTGTCCAAGCCAGGGTTTGGTTCTGTGAAGGTAGGAATAAGCCCGGCTCGGTGGCTCAGCCTGTAATCCCACGCTCTGGGAGGCTGAGGTGAGTGAATTGCCTGAGCCTGCGGGTTCGAGACCCGCCGGGCAACTTGGCGAGACCCCAGCTCTACAATAAATCAAAAAATTAGCCGGTCGTGGTAGTGTGTGCCTGTAGTTCCATCTACTTGGAATGCTGAGGCGGAAGGATCGCCGGAGCCCAGCAGGTCGAGGCTGCGGTGGCCAGGAGCGGCCACTGCGCTCCAGTCTGGGCGGCAGAGTGAGACTCCAACTCAAAAAAAAAAAGAAAGTAAGAATAAGCTGGAAAATCTCTGGTACTGACCAAGACAGGAGCAAAAAGAGATGGCACCGGCAGCCAGTCTCTTGTGTCACTTGTGCCAGGCCACCCAGACGCCCATGTTAGAAGATACCTGCCTGTACTTCCCATGCAAAGAATAGGAGAGCCGGAGCACTGGAGCTGTGCTGAGTGGTACACGGGACTCTCACAAGCTAGTGCTTTTGTATTGAGGACACATTGGAGTGACAGTATCTCAGGTCTGCTGAGTTAAAGTTGTGCTGCCTGTCTTGCTGTTAATGTCGCTGTGGCGTGAGTGGGAGGCCTGGGTCTGCTTTTTCTTGGGTGGCGTCATTCAGGTATCTAGAGTGCCGTATCTATTAGAAGATGCTGGGTCTTCTGAGATAGAGGATGCTATTCCTAACCTGTCGTTAAGAAAAGCTTCCTTGGGCAGGACCAGGAAGTCCTCCTCCGAAAGGAAAAGCTTTGGGCATACGATAGAGCCCGGCAGCTCTGTTCAGCAAAAGACGGCCTCCAGTGAGTGAAGAGGCGGCCCACCAGGGGCACTTGCTGCACCAGAACTCACCGGGCTCCCGTGGAGACCGAGGAGCAGATGGCCGGTCCTGCCGGCGAACAGCAGAGCTGAGCAGACGCCTCTCAAAGGCTGAGGTGCAGATGGCCCCAGCCCTGGGCCGGAGCCAGGCTCAGCTTAGCTCCGGGGAAGCCCGGCCTAGACGGGCCAGCGGACCACGTGGAGCGGACACAAGTGGTCATGTCAGCCCTCGATGTTACCTGCTTGATGTCACTGCTGATCTGTCACGGTCAGGCTCCGTCTTGCTGTGCTCTTCACCCCCCTTTCATCAGAATGTATTGCTTTTATTTTGAAGTATCATCCTTCCTCCTAAGCCGTGTGGCTTTCAGTGGCCGTCTCGGCACACAGCCTCAAGGTGTCAAAGCCAACATGGGCTCCTGCTGTGGCCCCGCCCTGTCACACTAGAGTGCCAGAACACTCCTGCGCACCTGCCTTCTTCCCTGAGTGACACGCACTTGCTGCCCTGCTGGTCATATCTCGGTCTGTGCATCTCGGTCTTATTTTGGCCGTCTGGTGTTTATCTAGATTGGCCAGTTTCAGGTGCAGTTTCTTTGGGTATGTCACTTGCTCCTGTGTCTTTCTGGCCTTTTGCCCTTGCTTTCGTGGCCACTTTTCCATCGCCTGGAGTGCGGCTCTTCCTTTTTTTTTTTTTTTTTTTTTTGAGTCGGAGTCTCACTCTGTCGCCCAGACTGAGTGCAGTGGCCGCTCCCGGCCACCACAGCCTCGACCTGCTGGGCTCCGGCGATCCTTCCGCCTCAGCCTTCCAAGTAGCCGGAATTACAGGCATGCGCTACCACCCCCGGCTGATTTTTTTATTTATTGTAGAGATGAGGTCTCACCAAGTTGCCCAGGCAGGCCTCGAACCCGCGGGCTCAGGCAATCCACTCATCTCAGCCTCCCAAAGGCGCGGGATTACAGGCTGAGCCACCGAGCCCGGAGGCTCTTCTTTTTTTGGTAGACAGGCCTGACTCTGTCGCTCGAGCTGTCGCGTGGTAGTGCAGCCTTAGCTTGCTGCCGCCTTGAACCCCTGGGCTCAAGACATCCTCCCCGCTCAGCCTCCCGAGTAGCTGGGACCACAGATGCGTGCTGCTGTGCCTGGCTAGTTCTTAATTTCTTTTGTAGAGATGGGGTCTCGCTGTGTTGCCCAGGCTGGTCTTGAACCTCTTGGCCTTAAGCAGTCC